TGCCGCTGTGTCGGCGTCGCTCACTTGAGCGCGTCGAGGACAGACGGCGCGACGACATGTGTTGTCGACGGCGAGATCCGAACCCAACCCTCGCGGGTCAACGATGCGGGCAACTCGATGGGCGTCGGGGGTAGGGTCCAGAGTTCGTCGAGGACGTGGCGAGGACGTGGCGAAATCCGAGCCCTACCCCCGCCTCGCAGCGATTCAGGAGAAACGATGTGGGGGTCAGGTTCGGATGTCGCCACGTACGGTAGGTGCGCGTCGTGCGTGTCGACCGGCGGCGACCCGCCGCCGGCGTTCAACGTTGAACGCCGCGGGCGACCCAGCATCGGTCGACGTTGAACGATCGAACGTTTCGGAAACGGCCGCTCGTTCAAGGTCGAACGATCCCGCGCGGTGTCAGAAGCCAACGCCAGGGTTGGCACGACATGGACCTGCCGTATGCTGGTTCAGGGTTTCTGGAACTTGCCAGGTGGTACCCGTTGGGGTGCAGGCGAGGCCCCCTGGCTCCGGAGACGTGTCCAGGGAGCAGCCGAGAGCAGTGCGGGCCGCAGGGCCGTCGGCCCAGAGGCGCCCTGGCTCTCCGGGCAGCAGCGCGCTGCGCGCGTGCGCAGCGCCCAGCTTTTGAGGGCGCGGCCTGGCGATCTCGGGCGCGCAAGCGGCACGAAGCGTGACGCTGTCGAGGCGCTTCGTGATCGACGCCCCGCTGGACGACCCCGGAATGGGAGCGGGAGGGCGAGCGGAGTCAAGGAGATGGAGAGAGGGGCAGCGAGGGCGAGGGAGAAGGGCAGGAGGAGAAAGAGGTGGGAAGGCAGGAGGAGAGGACGGGCAGGCCAGGGGAGGAGAGAGCAGTAGAGGGCCAGAGGAGGCAGGAGGAATGGGCAGCTTTCAGTCGGGCATGTCCCTCTACAGGAGGAATGTTCCAAAATACTCTAAAAATAGTCTGGGGACGATTTTTCGACTATGTTTGACTATTGATGAATATGGTTGACTATTTTGTTTGTCTTCCAAAATCCGCCTGTAGGAGAACATACCCGACCTAAGGGTAGAGGAGAAGGCGAGTGAGAGCGCGAATGAGGAGCATCGTTGGCCGCATCAGCGGCAGGAACACGAACATGAACAGTACTAGCCATCAGTGAGTGCGGGCACGCCCATCTCTCTCCCCCCTCCTCTTCCTAAAATTCCGCCCGCCCCGCCCCCCCTTACATGACCTCACACATCCTCCCTCCCCCCCCCCCCCCAAGCACCTGATGAGGACATCAACAAGCTCATGCTGGAGAGCCACCTGGACCGAGCCCCACACCTGTCGTGCCTTCAGTGGAGGACGAAGAGAGGCAGGAAATTCCACGTCTGATCGGGGAGAACCCACCTGACTTGACCCCAAAGTGGAAAGAGGAGGAGGAAGGGACGGAGGAGGGGGAGGAGGGGAGACAGACAAGCTAGGTGCGCTCGCGTCATATCTGACGTCCTACCCCTCCCTCCCATCCCTTACCATGGCGCTGATTTTCTCTATCCGCGGACGCGTGTCGTAGCGGACCTGTGGCTCCGCGCGCGCGTGCGTAGTGGGTGGTGGTGCGCGTGCGTGCGTGCGTGCGTGTGTGCGTGGTTGTGGTGGTGGTGCTGGTGCTGGTGCTGGTGCTAGTGCTGGTGCTGGTGCTGGTGCTGGTGCTGGTGCTGGTGCTGGTGCTGGTGCTGGTGCTGGTGCTGGTGCTGGTGCTGGTGCTGGTGCTGGTGCTGGTGCTGGTGCTGGTGCTGGTGTGGTGCTGGTGTGGGTGGTGTGGTGGTGGTGGTGGTGGTGGTGGTGTGGTGGCGCGGTGGTGGCGGGCGGATGGGCGCGCGAGAAAGAGGCCCGGCTGGGGCGAGAACGCCATCTCAACGACGGAGGCCAAACACCGATCCGAAAATTGAGGCCCACGCTGCAGCGGGAGCACGATTCGGAACGATTCGGAGCAGCAATGAGGCCGGCGCCTCAGCGAGAGCAGCATTTAGAAAAAAAACACAAGCGAAAACCCAACTCCGGGGAATCCTGTGTGTAAAAAAACAGTACGCGGGGGGGTGCCGAATATCTTCCGGACGCCATCAGGGGAAGTGGGAGAGTATTTTCATATTGTGTAATTGTAGAGGAGGGAGGGGAACTAGGTTGCCAGGCCATGTCTGAAGGCATTCCTTGAATGGAAACTTAATTGGATGGGCGTGGGGGGGTCAGATCGAAGAAAGACACTTCGTGGCGATATTGCTTGCTGCGCTTCCGAAAATTGGTCAGAGGGGTCGCAGCGGTGGCCAATTGGCCAGAGGGGTCGCAGAATCGGCCTAAAGCAGGAGGCCACGAGGTCGGAGATTGAACAGTTGCAAGGCATCACGCGGTCTAGAAAGTGGTTCGCTGCCTTGAGACACCCAGGATTCATTGACCGAGGAATCCCCACACTGCTTTATGTAGTAGATAGTGCGGTCCTTCCGCGCTCAGCCCAGCGTGTTTTGAATGCCTGTGTTGGGCGAAGGGGCGAAGGGCAGAGATTGAAAATGAGTACGCCTCCGTGGTTTGGGCTCCCCCCACAGCCTTCTTCTCCGCCACACACACACTTACCCTCAACGCGGCAATCAGTCGCATCGCCAGATAAAGTAGCACGGCATTCACCTCAAACGAGGTAATGCAGCCACTTTGTGGGGAGGGGCGCAGACGCACACACACATTGTTTTCAGGCGGTGGCGCAAAGGGTCCTCAAGTGCGAGCAGCAGATGGAAGTGCCAATTGCGATCGAGCATCGTCGAAGGCACAGCGTACAAAGCGTCGAGGCACACGCACGTGCACACAAATACACTCAGACAAACGTACACACAGTTTTTGTTTGTCTGTTTTGGACACCAGTGACTCGATCATTGTCATGGCTGGCTTAGGCTGGAAGGTTCAGGCTCGTATGTGGAAACGGCGCGCAATTGTCTGTTGGGGCGAAAGGTTGTCGTGATCGCGTAGTCGTGGTCGCGGCGCGCAGGGCCGAGTAGACGGAAGGGCAGAGTGCGGTTTTTCTTGTTCTTGCCATTTCCTATCGGTCGCGCCTTCGGAACGTGTTGCAGGCGTGCCCCACAGATGGCTACATCAGCGTTGGCCCAAGGTCGGTACGCACGCACACGTGGCAAGGAAGCAATAATAATACCTGGGAAGCGAATTGCAATGTACAGGCGCGCATACACATGCACATACACACGTACACTGACACGCAGACACAAGTACACACAAAAGCAGACATGTATGACATTTTTCATGTCAGCGGCGCAGAGGATCCTCAGGCGCGAGCAGCAGATGAAAGTGCTAATTGCGATCGAACATTGTCATAGGCACAGTGTACAAAGCGTGCACACTGTTAATGCAGCGATGGCTGGTGTGAAGGAGGAGAAGTAAATCCAACCGAAACGTGCAACTGCCAGAAAACCAAGGAGGCGACTTGACTCGAAGTCAGCGGCAGCGCGAGCAGTCTGGTGCGATTCGGCGGCTATTGGATGTATGACATACACGTACACACGTCTTTCATGTGTTGCTCAGAGCGCCGTTCTCAGCGCCGACGCTCTCGGGTGCTCCATGCTCGACAGGCGAAGCAGGGCTACGACAGTGGCCTGGGCAGCTTTCAGTTCGGCGCACTAAACAAGAAACCAGCATGCCAGAAGGTGCACGACGGATACCCATGGGGCAACTTACGCAGCTCAAGGCCGACGAGGGATGCGCCCGTAGTCTCATCATGGCAAGATCTGCAAGATCGATTCCCGCATCTGTCTGCTGCAGGGGTGGAGGATTCTGGCTGCCCCCTCCGGCAGGAGCTCCGCTTCGAGGCGCAAATGGTGACCGAGATCCCGGAGTACCAGAGCAGGCCGCTTCGCTCACCCGCGCGGGAGCGCAGTGTGTGATTCGACGCTCAGTCTTGCGCTCCCACGGTTGATGCCTTTGCGGATCGGCGAAAGGTTGTGGTTTTTGGCAGTGGGGGCCAGCATTGGGGTCATGCCCACTTGGACACTCTGTGGACAAGGCGAAGCAGAGGGCACCCCCACACGGTCCGGATTTTTCATACTAAACATGGTCCAGGGCAGGTTGCGACCGTGGAGTTCCTATCTCCGCCGTTACCTGAATGACTGGTGCTCGAGATCTAGTGCCGACCCGCCCAGAAAAAGTGTCTCGGTGGTTGGGTGTGGAGACGATTTGGGAGAAACGCGAGCGGCCTGACTCGCCCCCGCGCGCGAGTGAGGGCCAAATGCACCACTTTCTACGGAAGGAAAGGTACCCCGACCCCCATCATTGGCGCTTCATCACTAAACAGCCCTTGGTGTTCACTTCACATTCACATGCCTGCCCTGTTCGGCTCCTTCCTCAGGCGCATTTGCGGAAGGGCCTCGCTTGTAGGCGTGCTCATTGTGAGGGTGGACTTTCTGCCCTCCAGTCTTGGAAGGTGCTGCGCGCAGGCGGCGCGGCCGACGCGGCCGACGCGCTCGGCCTCGTCGGCCTCGCGGGGGGTGCCGAGGGCAGGAGGCCCGCGCTGCGGATGCCGCTCCACCTCCTCCTCATCCTCATCCTCCTCCTCCTCCTCCTCCTCCTCCTCCTCCTCCTCCTCCTCCCCCTCCTCCTCCCTCTCCTTCTCCTCCTGCTCCTCCTCCTCCTCCTCCGCCTCCTCCTGCTCCATCATCATCATCATCATCATCATCAGCATCACCACCACCATCATCATCAGCATCAGCATCAGCATCACCATCATCATGTTCCTCCTCCTCCTCCTCCTCCTCCTCCCCCTCCTCCCCCTCCCGTCCTTCATTATCCTCTTCCTACTCCTCCTCCTCCTCCTGATCCTCCTCCTCCTTCTCCTGCTCCGTTGCCATTTTGGCTCAAGATCGGGACAGGCCCGTTTTGAGTGCGGCAGCCCTTCTTCCAGGGCCACCCAGCTGTCAAAGGCTGGCGGACACCCCCACCACCAGTGCGTCTCATGGCTGATGCAGTCCCTGCGGCGCATGCGAGCACCCAGGAGCGCCAGATGCTTGCAGAGCTTGACGAGATGCCCACCTTCCCCGACGGTGAGCGCTCGGGCAAAGGCCAGGGCACGGGCCGCTTCACCCAGCGCAAGCGCCAGGCCCTCGCTTCGTCTTCGGTCGGTGCTCCTGTACCTTCTCCTCATGATGATGAAGATGACGATGGTGACTTTCTCCGGCAGCTCTGCAGAGAGGAGTTTGCCTCGATGCGGGACACCATCACCACCGAGGTGTCAGAGTCGGTTGCCAAGACCATCACCTCCAATCACAACACGTTGCTCAAGATGTTGTCGTCCATGCAGGGCGAAGTGGCAAAACAATCCAGTGCCATCGAGAGCCAGGTTCAATCGGCGATCGCACCCAGACTCGACTCGCTCAACAGACGCCTCCAAGCCCAGCTTGACGAGCAGAAGCGCAGCATCGACGCGCTGGAGGGCAGAGCCGACGAGCATGACAAGTCCATCCAGGATCTTCAGGACCAGCTGGCGGAGCTTCGTCGCCAGATGGCCATCGCTGAACAGACTCCCAGGAAACAGCTGGTTGCTCCCACCTCCTTCGACCGCGAGGAGGACACCACGATCGTTGTTGCCGTCTCACAGCGACCGACTACCTTGGCGTCAGTGGTCTCATCGCTACGCCCGTGGCTCGGCGAGATTGGCTTTGATGACGAACAGTCTGAAATCAAGCAGAAGGGTGAGTCCCCGGCCAGGAGGTTCGAGATCTGCTTCTCGGGCTCGGCCACCATCGCCTCGCGCCGTGCCAGCAAGGCCACCTCGCTCCTCAAGGGACCCGACGGCTGGAAAGAGTTCTGGGTCGACCCTCCAGGCGCCGAGCGTTGCCGTTTGCACCTCGGCCCCGACAAGTCACCCAAGCGCATCAAGACCGAGGTCACCCTCCGCAAGGCCAGGGCGATCATCGAGCTGCAGTACCCAGGCAAGCGATTCTACTCCGACCGCGAGCATGGCGTCCTCTCCATTGGGTGGGACAAGATCATGCAGGTCAACGTCTTCCATGGCGACACCCCGCCCAAGCTCTACTGGGACTCTGCGCAGCTTGCCAAGCACGCCATGGCTATCGACACGCTCCGCAATGCTGTCAAGGAGCTCACGCATCCGTCTGATCCCAGCCAGTGGTGTCTTTAGCGCAGCTGGACTATTTCGCCTTCCTCCCCCGCCGCCTGGGTCGGCGGCGCCGACGTTTCGGATCGCTACGTGGAATTCTCGGGCTCTTCTTCAGGCTGGCGGGGATAAGGCCATCCTGAAGAGACAGTATGTTCTCAGTCTTCGTCCCCTCTCCACGGTCATCGCGCTGCAGGAGGTGCACCAGGACCACTTCCAGCTCGACTCGTTCTTCCGATCGATTGCGTCGGGCCTCACGATCCACTCCAGCTTCATCTCTGACGCGGATGACGGGCATCGGCGAGGTGGGGTTGCTGTGGTGCTTCCGCCGTTGGCTTGTCAGGGCCTCTCCGCTCCGTCCTCATCATCCACTGTTCTGGTTCCTGGCCGAGTGATGCTAGTCCGAGTTTGGGATGACTGCCGCACGCTCGACATTTTCAACATTCACAATCATGGTCTGTCCGCCCAGCAAGTTCGTGAAGTGGCTGCTGCGATACGAGTATCGCAACGTGCTGCCGCCCTCGACCCCGACATGTACACCACCTTTGTTCTCGGGGACTTCAATTTTGCCACGCATGTGGCTCTCGCGCTCGCTGCCCCCGCGGCGGCCGTGCGCAAGCTGTCGAAGTGCCACCACGTGCAGGCGCCCAAGTGGCGCCAGGCCCTCGCCCTCCTGACTGAGATTGCGTGCGAGGACCCCACGCACTACGAGAAGTTCAACGACTCGTGCGCGACGATCGACCGCGTCTTCTGCTCGATCACGGGCTGGCAGCTCTGCCAGCTGTTTGTCCAGATTGGCACGCTTGGCTCGCCGGCGGCCGTCTTTGACAAAAAGATCTCTGACCATGCTGCCGTTGTTCTCTCGCTTGCCTGCCGCCCGCCTCGCCCAGCGGAGTCCCGCCCCATCCCCAAGCACCTGTTCTCTGAGCCTGGTTTCAAGCGTCGCCTGGAGGGGCTGTGCTCCTGCATCCCGTGGGACTCCATGTCGCCCCCGTTCAAGGTTGAAAAGTACAAGGAGCTTTTGAAGATTTCGGCCGCGGAGACCAGGGACGCCCTCTTTCGAGACAGACCACATCACCCGCACACCTGCCTCCTGCTCGCTCGTGCCCTCGCCCGTGTGGTTTGGAGACAAGACCTGCGCGTGGCTTCCAGGCTCCAGGACTCCCACCCCCTGGCCATAGACATGATATCGATTACCAACGGGAAGGTCGAGATCCGCCACCCGCCGTCCTTCCAGGCTTGGGTCGACCAGGTCCAGACTGAGGCTGCTGCGTCCGCGAAGGCTGAACTTGATGATCGCAGGCGGCGTGAAGGTGACCGCGCCCAGATTCGCGCCCAGGTCCGCGCTCTTGAACGGCGCGCTCGTCTCTGGTCCCCTCTCAACCGAAGGATATCACTCTCAGCGGTTATCGCGCCTGATGGCTCGGCGGTCAGCGTCCCATCTGATCGACTGCGGGTACTATCGGAGCACTGGGCCCCTGTCTTCCAGAAAAAGCCGTGGGACTCCGCTGCTGCTGCTCCTTACCTACGCCGCCTTGCCCCTGACCTTCCCGCCGACCTTCACCTCCCCCCGCCGTCGAAAAATATGCTACGGCGTGCGATTCGATCTGCCCAACACTCTGCCCCTGGGCCTGATGCTCTCCCGTATGCGGCGTGGGCGGCGTCCTCGTGGGGGGCTGACATACTATGGGACGCTCTTGGATGGGTTCTCAGGGGCCAGGAGTTGTTTGCGAATACTAGTGACACGATCCAGATTTTTCTGCCCAAAAACGTCACGGACTTGGAGCTCCGCGATGCCAGCTGCTCCCGCTCCCCAGACAAGGTTCGGGTCTTGGGCCTCAGGAACTGCGACTTGAAGCTCATCTCGTCCACGGTCAATCGGGCGATACGACCCGCCCTGGTTTCTCTCGCCCCGCCGTGCCAGCGTGGATTCATCCCGGGGAGGAATTTCGGCAACAACATCCTCGAGTTCGACGTGTCGTCTCGTCAGATGTCGGTCGTGCCTCACGGGTCTACCGATATCCCTGTATTGTATTCCTTGGACTTCGGCCAGGCCTTCCCGTCCCTGAATCAGGACTTCCTCATTCTCTCCCTTAGGGCCCTCAAGCTGCCCGAGGCTTTCGTGTCCTTCGTCACGTTCCTATATGCATCGGTGGAAGGGGTTGTCTCGCACCTAGGCTCGCTTGTGCACATCTTCTGGATCCAGAGCGGCATCATCCAAGGTTGTGCCTTATCTGGCACTCTCTATGCGTTGGGTACGGCTGTCTTCTTGGTCGACCTGGCGTCTCGGGTGGAGGCCGCTGGCCTTGGCCTGGTTCGGGCCTGTGCTGATGACATTGGGGGCACGTTATTGGCCATTCGCCACCTAGCTCATGTTTATCGGGTTATGAAGATGGCCTCGGACTTGGCCAACCTCGCCTTGAAGGTCTCGAAATGCAAGATTGCCCCGCTGTCTGACAGGTTCTCGCCCAACCTCTCCGCCACAGTCTCCTACTGGGTCTCCCATCTGGTCCCCGAGTGGAGCTCGTTCGAGGTGGCTCCCAAGCTGCTCTACCTGGGCCTCTGGCTGGGGCCCGCTGTTGTTCCGTCCACTTCGTGGATTGACCCCGTCGCCAAATTGCGTCTCAGGGCCCGAGCCATCGGGCGGGGAACCACTCCCGCCAGCCTTTCCGCTACACTGTACAATACTCGGGCCGTCACGACCATATCTTACGTTGCCCAATTCTGCTGGCCACCAGCGTCCGCGCTGCAGCCTGAGTTGTCGACGCTCGCGCAGGTGTTCCGCATCCCGCTCGGCACTTTCGCCCTCGACTTCTGGACGCAGATCGCTCAGTGGGGCGGCCCGCGCTGCACGCGGTGGGGGCACCTGGCCGTCGCCACCATCACGCGAGCTGCGCTGCACACGTTCCCTGGCTGGGAGAGGCTTCTCCAGCAGCTGAGGAACCACGCGAGCTCTGCCCCGCACGATGCCACCCTGTCCATGCTGGCGACCGGCAAGCCGTACCCGTCCTTCTGGCTGGCCCCCGCCTTTGTGGAGAACCTGGAGCTGGCCGCCGCGGGCACCCCTCCTCCTGGCCCTCTGGCCGTCTTCGGTGATCGTGCTGCCGTCGCTGCGCTGGCTGAACTTCGTGAGAGCGGCCGGCCCCGTCCTCGTCCTCAGAGGGCTGCTCATGAAGCGCTGCGGGCCTTTGCGATGTTGAACAAGCCTATCACTGACCTCTTCGTGCTGCGCCTGAGGAAGTTCGCTGGCAGGTCGGCGGGCCTCTTATCGCACACCGACTGGGGCGTGTGCAAGAGCGTCCTCGCCCGCTGCCCGTGTTCGTGGGCCATGGCAGTCCTGCGCACTTGGTCTGATGGCTGGATGACTTCGGCCCGTATCATCTCTCCTGATGGGCAGAAGCATTGCGTTTTTGGTTGTATCGGGAAGCTCGACTCGTTGCGGCACTATGCGAGATGCCCCGTCATGCACCGTGCCCTTCGACAGGCTCTCGCGAGACCGTTCCCGCTCCCGTGGATGTCCAGATGGGGCTTATCTGAGCCCTCGCTGGCCACCTTCTCGGCAATGGCGGCCGCCTACAACATGTACAACGAAGCGAGGCTGGCGCCCGTGTGGCCCCTGTCCCCGCCCCTCCTCCGCAGCTGCGCTCTCGCTGGTGTACGTTCGATGCAGCTTGCGTCACCGCTGAAGTGCTCGGAGATCGACCGCGACCAGCTCGGCCGACGGGACTACCTCATCCGCAGCTCTTCGTCTTCTTCATCCTCGGGGTCGTCTCCACGGCTCACCCCTGCCGTTTCGTCGTCAGACAGCGACACGGCCACCGTCTCCACGGCCATCGCCACGATCCCGTCGGACTCCGAAGCTGATGATGCACTTCAGCTTCCAGCGACGCCGCCAGCTACGTGCTCTCCCTCGGCTTCGGCGACTTCCTCCCCACCTTCCTCCGCGCCCCCGTCGTTGACGCGCTCCACTTCAACACTGAGAGCGACCCCATCTCCTCCAACGGCGTTGAGAACTCCACGGATGGCGGCCGCCTGCTCATCATTGTCGCCGCCGGCCCCAATTTCGCCCTGTGCTTCTGTGTCGCCGTCCCCGCCAGTGACGCTCTCGTCTACGGGCTCGCTTGCCTCGTCGCCTCCCTTCGGCGTTAGATCGCAAGTCCCGTTGTCGTGTTCGGGCTCACTGTCGCCAGATGCTGGATGCCTCGAGACGCCCCAGATGGGCCCAGGCGTTAGATCGCAAGACCCGTTGTCGTGTTCGGGCTACACGTCGCCACGTGATCACTGCCTCGAAGAGGATCATCTCTCCAGTGGCGTTAGAATGCAAGTCCCGTTGTCGTGTTCGGGCTCGCCGTCGCCACAAGAACGTTGCCGTGATTCGGGACGCTGGTCCGTCGGCGTTAGATCGCAAGTCCCGTTGTCGTGTTCGGGCTCGCAGTCGCCACGTGTCGGACGAAATCCTGTGAACCTGGTGGCGGCTCGACGATCGGTGCGATCCCCCTCTCCGATTTCCACGCGCTCTCCGATGGCGCGCTCCCCGTCAGTGTCGCCGACGGCTCCGATGACGCTCCCACCGTTGCCCTCTGAGTGTGATTCGGAAAATGAGCGGCATGCTGTTTCTTTTCCCCCGTGCTCATCCGTCGCCCCTCCGACGGCCACCCTGGCCACGCCTCTCCCTTCGCTCTCTTGCAGCCCCGTGCCCTGCACCCAGGCTCCAGCTTTGCCCGCCACCTCCCCTGGCGCCGTTTTCCTCTGCCCTCCCCCCTCCTGTCCTTCGCTCCTGAGCTCTGCTCCTGCCGTTGCTTGCCCCCCGCCCGCTCCTCCTCCCACTGCGTCGCATCACCGCCTGTCCCACCCACTTGTGCCCGACTGTTGCATCGTGTCTCCGCCCAGCGTTTCCCCCTCCGCTCCGTCCCTCGTGGCCTCCCTGCTGCTGCCCTCTGCTGTCTCGCCTCTCCTTCTCTCCCCCGCGCTCGCCTCGCCGTCGCTCATGTGTCCCGACGCCGCCGCCTCATCTCTGTTCATTTCGTCCAGGTCGGATGGAGGCCCCTCGCCTCTCCCCGCCCCCCAATCTTCTAGCGTGGGCAGCTCGCTCGCGTAGTTGCTGACGAACCCCGCCTGGTACGCTGGGCTCCTCCTTCTCCTGCTCCTGATCCGCATCCTCTTCCTTCTTCTCCTCATTATTCTGCTCCGTCTGCTCCTCCTGCTCCTGCTGGGACTGCTTCTGCTCCTCCTCCGCCTCATCATCATCCTCCTTCTCCTCATCCCCCTTCGCCTCCTCCCCCGCCTCTTCCTCTTCCTCCTCCTGGTCCTGCTCCTGCCCCTCCTCCTCCTGCTCCTGCTGCTCATCCTCATCCTCCCTCTCCTCCTCCTCCTCCTCCTCCTCCTCCTCCTCATCCTCCCCCTCCTCCTCCTCCTCCTCCCCCTCATCCTCATCCTCCTCCTCATCCTCATCCTCATCCTCATCCTCCGCCTCATCATCATCCTCCTCCGCCTCATCCCCCTCCTCCTCATCACCCTCTTCCTCATCATCCTCCTACTCCTACTCCTACTCCTACTCCTACTCCTACTCCTACGCCTCCTCCTCCTACTCCTCCTCCTACTCCTCCTCGTCTTCCTCCTCCTCCTCTTCCTCCTCCTCTTCGCTCCACCTCTCCTCCTCCGCCTCCTCCTCCTCCGCCTCCGCCTCCTCGCTCCTCATCCGTCGTCCTCCTCCTCCTCCTCCTCCTCCCATCCTCCTCTCCTCCTCCGCCTCCTCCTCATCCTTCTTCTCCTCCTCCTCCTCCTCCCCCCTCCTCCTCCTCCCTCCCCTCCTCTGTCTCCTCTCCCCTCCCCCGCTTCTACTCCTGTTCTTAGTCCTGCTCCTGCTCCTCCCGGTTTGATCCTCCTCCGCAGCTTCCTCCTCCTCATATCTCTTCCCCCCTTTCCGCCTCCTCCTCTCCTCCTCCTCCGCCTCCTCAATCTCTTCCTCCTCCTCCTCCTCCTCATCATCAACGTCATCATCATCATCAGCATCATCATCATCAGCAGCATCATCATCATCATCAGCATCATCATCATCATCATCATCATCATCCGTATCATCTTCCGTATCCTCCTTCCCGTCTTCTTTTTCTTCTTCCTCCTCCTCTTCTTCCTCCTCCTCCTCCTCCTCCTCCTCCTCCTCCTCCTCCTCCCCCTCCACTCCTCCTCCTCCGCCTCTCCTCCTCCGCCTCATCTCCTTCTCCTCTCCTCCTCCTCCGCCTCTCCTCTCCTCCTCCTCGGTGCCTCCTCCTCCTCCTCGTCCTCCTCCTCCTCCCCCCTCCAGTCCTCCTCTCCTCCTCATCCTCCTCCTCCTCCTCATCCTCCTCCTCCCCCTCCCCGCCTCCTCCTTCTCCTCGTCCTCCTCCTCCTCCTCCCCTTCCCTCCTCCTCCTCGTCCTCCTCCTCCTCCTCTCCTCCTCCTCCTCCTGTTCACAATCCTCTTCATTTTCCTCCTCCCCCTCCTCCTCCTCCGTCCTCGTCCGCCTCCTCCTCCTCCTCATCGCCTCATCCTCCCCTTACTCGCCTCCTCCTCCTCCTTCTCCTCCTTCTTCCTCTCCGCCCCTCCTCCTCATCCCCTCCGCCTGCTCTGAATGCTCCTCCTCATCCTCCTTCCTCCTCCTCCGCCTCCTCCTACTCCTACTCCTTCCTCCTTCCTCCTCCTCCTCCCCCTCCCCCCTCCTCCTCCTCCTCCTCCTCCTCCTCCTCCTCCTTCCTCCTCCTCCTCCTCCTCCTCCTCTCCTCTCCTACTCTTGGCCTCCCCATCCTCTCCTCCTCTCCTTCTCCCCCTCCTTCCTCTCCTCCTCCACCTTTCTCCTCCCCCTCCTCCTCCTCCTCCTCCTCCTTCTCCTCCTCCTCCTCCGCCTCCTCCTCCTCCGCCCTCCTCCTCTTCCTCCTACCTCCTCCTCCTCCTCCTCCTCCTCCTCCTCCTCCCCCTCCTCCTCCTCCTCCTCCTCCTCCCCCTCCTCCAGTGAGAATATTGGTAGTGAGGGCGTCGATAAGAAGGGCGAGCTATGTATGCTTTAGAGGTGTTTCAGAGGCACCTTCCGTCGTCACCGCTGGATAGGGCAGATTGCCCTGGCTCTTGTTTTTATAGCCACAGATCGTAATACTAGCGTGGCTCAAGGCGAGTAAAATGCCCGCTTTGGTAGCGGAGCAGAAGATCCGCGGGCCAACCTCTCACTGTCGGCCGGCCCACCGCGCGGCCAGCGCCGCGCATGCCCGCGCCTCCGCAGGCAGTAGCGAGCACATCTACATCGTTCACGACATCGACGGCTTCCCGTCGAACTTCATCTACGAGTGCTAGGACGAGCACTCCAGGCACGACCGGTACCAGCAGGCGACCACGCCTGATTCACGGCACTGTCATCTACTTCTTTCTATTTTTCAGCGCCAGCATGGCGCATCAGCAGCAAGGCGGAGAACGACCTCAGGGCACGTTGCAGCTCGAGGAGTTCACAAAGTTCGTGCCACCAGGGTGGCGCCCTCACGTCAAAGGTTACACGCTTCGGAGATATATGCAGAAGCTGAAGTTGTGGTGGAGGATCACTGAGGAGAATCAATATGAAAGGATTGGACCGCTCATAGTCTCTCGATTTCAAGGAGCACCCTTCACTGCGGCAGCGTCGTTCACACATGTCAGAGATGGCGTACAGTATCGAGGAGACGAAGCTATAGCACTTCCAGCACAGGCAGCCAATCCACCAGATCAGCAAGAATCTGTGCCTGGCATCAAGCACTTTCTCAACCAGCAGAAGGCCATCTATGAACTGCATGATCAAAATAGAATTGGAATAGTATGAGAATCATTATTTGAGTGCAGACGTGCACATCATCAAGATCTGCGAACGTGGATTTCATCATTTGAACTAGCGTTCGAGGACGCGTGCGAGGAAGGCGGCCTGGTCATGAATGACACTGGCCGCAGTCACTTCTTGTCGAAGAACAGTGGACTGTCGGACAAAAGATTGGACGACTTGAAGTTGCACGTGGCAGGAGATCTATCACAGTATCGAGTATTGCAGGGTCTCATGATGCGTCTGGGCAAGCAGGACCAGATCGGACAGCACACCGACTGGGCTTGGTATGGCGAATCAGGAGACGGCGCAGACACTGAAGGAATGGACGAATGCTGGTACGAGGCCTACAACGACGAGCAGTACAAGTGGGGTTACGACCAGGACTACGAATGGACAGCCACACAGGATGGAGAATTGCATTTCCAGGAGCACGACGACATCTGGGAAAAGTACGACGAGAAGGGCGACATGATAGAGTACTACGAGACAGATCAGGATGACCACGACACCTACTTCGGCGGCAAGGGTCGCGGCAAAGGAAAGCGTGATAGAAGCAAAGGTAAAGGACACGGACGAGGGGGTTTTCGACGACGATTTCCTCCCAAAGGTAAAGGACGTGGAAAAGGAAAATACAATAATGGCAGCAACAACGATCGCATGGGCAACACAGGACAACGACACGATGGATGCGACATCTGCGGAAGTAAATGGCATGATCGGTCACATTGCCCGGCAAAGGATCGACGGCAACAAGCACAACCACATCAACAACCGAGATTCACACCATCAAAGAGCAAAGGCAAAGGTGGACGTAGCAGGCACTACGCGAACGTCGTCGGTCTCTCCACAGCGGATCCGCCAGCAACAGCATCGTCCGCAGGACCAGGCTTCGACAGCACCGCAAATGGTAACTCGAGCTCCAGGTTCCTGGATCACGGTGCAGACGCCAGTCAGCTCAACGACCAGCACGATTCCTGTCGAACGGTATCACCTCCCAGATCATGACACATTGCCTACTGTTGCTCAGGATCCAGTGCCTGAAGGCGACACGTTCGAGCTGAATGCCGAAGGGCACGGAGATGTTAATGACTGGTATACCCGACCTGATGACAACGACGCCAGTCCGAGTACACAGGATCGACCAGTGCGACCACCCATTCTGGGCTCAGCATCACCTTTTCCCGATGATCGAGTGAATCGCACACCTTTAAGGTCAGTCCTGAGGAGCTCGACGACATCATCATCGTCAAGCACATCAGCTCCAATGACACTGGCTCAGAAGTTATCAAAGCAGTACGCACTAGTAGTCATGAAGAACCAGCTGAAAAACGCAGAGGGGGGTGACTTGAAGGACGAATCAGCTCCATCATCTGGGCAACAGACCATGCCTACTGAGAGATTCAAGTCACTTCAACTCCTTGGTTGTCAGCACTTGGCGACAGCAGATGATCAGCGACACATCTCATTCCTGGAAGGTAAGAGCGGCCGAGGCGACCCCATATGAGATATTGCGCACAGTGAAAGGCAAACCTCGACATGGACTGATCGTCGACCCAGGAGCCGCTGAAGGCCTACTCGGTACGGAGACGTTGTTGGAATGGAATTTGGACCGATATCAACCTGAAGGCATTCCATATGATCTCCGAGCCCCACAGGCAACCTTCACGGGCATCAACGGACAGGCAGACCCCTCACGCGGTGAGTTTCGAGGGCCAGTCTGGGTTGAAGGCATGCAGAGCGGCGCCACCTACCAGGCGGACCTCATTGGCGGCTCTGGCGCACGGTGTCCGGGCCTTCTGCCCAACAGTACGATGATTAAGCAGAAATGCATCCTGTTCGAGAACATGTATCATAACGGAGACGGCATCCTGGCGTTTGTTCCAGACGACCGGGTATCCACGATGGCGCGAGTATTATTCACAGATTCAGGACATTACATGCTGCCCATAGATGTGTTCAAGACTCAAACTGAGCAGATCGCCGACGAAATGATCAACCCGATCGAGGACCGCATCAACAAGTTGTTCATGGCTTTCAATCGTCGGCGGAAACCTACGATTCAACTACATTCAGCCAGTCACGCTCAAGGCCCTGAAGCGCAGAATCAGAGAGAGATAAGTAGCAGCAGACTGGCAACGGCAGCATCGACACCATCGAGACAGACATACGGATCGCATCAGAACACAGACGCCACGGAGTTCTGGGATGCATGGAGACAGTACAGCAGCAGTAGATATTCACAGGACGAATGGCCAAACAACTTCGAGCATGCTGAATGTCACCGGATGGCTCGGGAATATGAGTTCATGGACGAGAAGTTCTACAGCGCATCTCGATTACCAGTGATTCGACCCGAACACGCACGAGCCTTCATTCAGCGTATGCACCCAGTAACCCACAAGACGACCTCTCATGGTGGAAGTCTTCTCTGGTACCTCTGGAGTTTCATGTGCAGTTGATCGTGGCCATCTAATTGCACTACCACCCACTGACTGTCGTTATGGTTGGGATCTACATCGACCTGATCATCAACAACTGCTACTGAAGCTACATGAGGCATTTGGACCATTATTCTCATTGATGGGGTTATACTGCCGACCGTGGTCTCAGTCTAACAACAACGCTGAGCCTGTTGAACTGGAGCACAGGCGAGATTACGAACGCCCGATATTGACATGGACTGCACAGACCCATGCGCCAGCATTGGTACGTCACGGCAATCAGATCATTATGGAGAACCCCTCGCGATCAGCCACCTGGAAGCAGACTGATCTGAAGCTGATTCCATACATCCTGATGCGCGAGGTGCACGACAACGTTACCGACCAGTGTGCACATGGAGCGTGGAGTGAGGACCTGAAGTTACCACTTCGCAAGAGGACGTTCCTCCGGAGCACCATCCGCCTGAGATCTACATCACGAGCGTGCAAGTGTATCACAAAGCATGCGGAGCTGCAGGGCGCAGCCGATCAAGGAAGGAAGCTGACAGCCCTGGCAGCGGTATATCCCGTGGGGCTGCGTCGCTCACTGGTCAAGGACATGGTCAAGCACATGCACACTTGCAGGTCGCAGGCCTACTGGACATGCAAGCGCTGCCAACGTGGCGCTGGATCAGGTGTTCCACACACGCGGCAAGATGGTTGCAGATTCAAGCCCGTTCCACCGTCAGCAGCCGCAGGAGCCGCAGCAGCACCAGATGGTCATGCAGCACCAGTACCTCCAGCATCACCAGTACCTCCAGCAGCACCAGTACCTCCAGCAGCACCAGCAGACGCCGCAGCACCAGCACTTGCAGTACCACTAGGACCAGCTCCACCAGCAGCAGAACCAGTACCACCACCTCCTGAACCTGTTGCCTCACGATCATCAGCATCGGCAGGAAACATCAATATCATCAAGCCATCATATGACCTGGGCAAGCTGGCACAGAAGTTGACACAGGCCTCCTCTGACGAGGAACGCCTTAAGTTGCTCGTGGGCCTCCACTATAAGTTCTTCCATCCACCAGACTTTGAGATCGAACGGATGGTTCGAGCTCCTGGACTACCAGCGCCCATTCCAGAGTTATGCAAAGGTCTGGCCGAGCACTGCGAGACCTGCCTTCAGCGACAACGAGCGATGCACAAACCGAGTATCAAGATGACCATCGCAGTTCGTTTCAACGAACGAGCCCAGGCATATCTATTCTTTGTGTTCGAAAAGACGCGGCTAATAATGATTGACGAATGTATCAGATACCGCATCGCATGCTTGGTGGCAACAAAGCAAGGCAAAGATATTTTACGAGCGATGCTCAGTCACTGGATTCGGTATTTCGGGCCGATGGACAACCTGGTGATGGATCAAGAAGGCGGCATGACGACCGACAATGTGGCGCTGGTGGCAGACACATAAAATCTCAAACTAGTGCTTGGTGGAGCAGACGGACATACCACGACAGGCCTGGCAGAGAGAGCTATTCAGACGCTCAAGCTCAAGGCACTCACGACGAAGCGCGACGTGATCAAGCAAGGTCTGACCGATATCAGTGATGAAGATATTGTGGAGGAATCAACTATGGTGGCTAATATTTTCATGAACTACGGCGGCTCGGTGCCGGCTCAGGGTCTGCTCGGCTACATGCCGAAGGACGCGCATGATCCCGAGGCTGAAACATCGACGGCAACTCAAAGCGCAACGGATCTCACGCCAGACCCGACCGAGCAGCATCTACGATTGAGGCTCTTGGCAAAATCCAATATACTTCAGGCCATCATTGAAGAGAGGATTGCCAAGGCTAACAGTACACGACAGCAATCTCAGGACTCCAAATGGATCGAGACACTCAAACCACATGACCAAGTGGACATATGGCGAACACCAGCTCGGAAGTATCAAGATGGTTGGCGAGGTCCAGCAGAGTTCATCAGCTTAGATAAGGACAAGGCGGCGGCCATCGTGATTCACCAGAATCAGCCGTACAAGATACCGACGAGGCACATGCGAGCACGACGAATGAGTTTTTATGTTTCACGCACCTCCTGGGACAAATATCAGGTGTACCTCGGCAGCGGCAGCGCGATGAAGCTCACGCAGTTGTTTGAGATCATAGAAGGGACCCCTCCGGACATCGTGTACCGCATGGGCATCTTCAACGAGCAACCGACGCCACCTGAACTACTGCAGGAACCACCGCCGACGTGGCAGTTGGCACAGAGCGTTGCATGGTCATCTTCCGGATGACTAGTGTTGACGGCATCATCTATGGGCAAGGACATCGGCAGCTCAAAGGTCTTGGAGAATTCACCCACGGAGTGCCTGCGGCCTGGCGCGATCGACACCGAGAAGACTACTACAGCAGTGATATCGATCCGACCCAGCCGATCAATATGGTGAAGTTCGTAGGCGCCAACTGGGACAAGTACCATTTCTTACTATTAGTATCCAAGCATCGTTATGCCGACGACAGGCCAGGCACCTACGTCGATCCAGACCTCAGCGACATTCCATTCCTTGACGATGACCCTTTTTCTCCACCGAGCTGGCTGCCACCAGTTGCGCCGATCGAGACGGAGGATCACACCAAGTCTCCAATGTCTGCACGGGAAGATCAGGCAATATCTCTTACAAGAGGTTCATTGGATCTGACGCCATCTTCCATGGAGAATGCAACATCTCTGCAGGCAGTTGAAGAAGCTACGCGGCGTGATTCAGACAATCGTAAAGCAGAAGACTACCACAACCTCATCAGCGACTCGAGCAAAGACGATACAAGATCATGAAGCAGATGAGGAACCTACACAGCCTTTGACGGTCCAAGGACAACCAGCTCAGCAACAGTCTGACGGTGGACTGGAGCACGATCTTCGCGAGGTGATGGACGACGTGAATTTCGAGAAAGAACTGAGCAAGCAAATGGAGATGGATGCTGAAGTTGAAGCCCTGGAGCGAAGCATGGAACGTGGACCCATACGTCAGGCAGATCAACCAGCACACGTACCATCAAGCTTCATTCCACAAGGAAGCCGATCACGATTACACTCACCTCGACGGATCGGATCAGGGGCAGCATCAACATCAATGCACATCGACCCCGCAGCTGAGCCAGATAACATCACTACACGGACACGTCAAGATCCAAGAACACGAAAGGAGACCGACCTAGACGAGAGCATCATTGACCTCAGACATCAACGAAAGCAAGCACGGCCTACTGTTGAACCATATCGACCGCTAGCCGAAGTCAATCCACAGCCTGAGCAGGTCCAACTACCTATCCAAGATGGCTCAGCAGCAGAATCACAGTCATCTCCGCAGAGAGACATATCTCTCCATGAACAAGCACCTCCACCTGTCCCAGATGAACCAGCAGTTTCCAGCCCTACGTGTGATCATGGTGAGGAGGACATCATAGGTGCGAATGACACCCATGACCTTACTGAGGCGCTGGGTGAGTTGATGGAGGATCCTGAGGACGAGTCTCCACTACCTCTTCAAACTGCAGATGCACTATGTATGTGGTATGCGGGCCGTTCGGCAGACAGATCAGTCATCACGCCGACAGAGAACTTGGTAAAGCTCTATGATATCAGTCACTTTCCTGACAAGCTCTATCCAAGCTCCCCGGGCAACACCGCACATCACCATGCTGCCGCAACACCATGGACGACGACAGATTCCTGCTGCATCTTCAAGGGCTTGGGCAGTTATGGACCATCGCGATGTTTCTATATGGATTTGATGGAGCACGAAATGGTGGAGATCTACGCGCCCCAAGCCGAGCAATTGATTCAGGAATCCGAGTTCGAGAGTCTCTGGCCACAGATCGAAGAAGCCGATCACAAAGATATCCAGAACTATGTCAAGCACGACTGTTTCAGGCCCAAGCTGAAGACGGAGTGCAGCAACGCCAACTTCATAGACGCCACCCGGGTCAGACGCTGGATGTGGAAAGAGAAGTGGGTCGCGCGTTGCCGACTTTGTGGACGAGGTTTCTCGGTTTCTCGGACAATCAGAAATGGGCAGTGGACAGACACTCTTCGACGGCAGTAAGAGTATCACAGCGAATGATGGCATCCACTAGCCAGTGCGAGCCAGGCTTTGCGACAGAAAGCTGGGAGATGATCAGCTACATCTATATGTTCTTGAATGTATCAAACCAGTTCCTGGGCTCATTGACGCACCATTATTACGGCAAGCAGCGTTGACACTACGCGCCAAGGACAACATGGCGGGCAAGCGAGCACTACTCGACGAGAACTGTTTCGTGCGGCACGACGACAAGACGGAGAAGCACACACTGGCCACGACAGTACATGTGGACGATCTCTTCCCAGCAGGCAGGCAGACATGGTTGTGGACTGGGCACGTGCGTTACTGGCGGAAAAGTTTGGAAAATCACAAGGAAGATCTTGCCCTTCACACATCTCGGCATCGAGTACCATCGACTTCAGGACGGATATATTTTCTTGAGTCAAGATGCCTACCTGGATACGATCGAGGCACCACCAATAGACAAAGAAAGGAGCAATAATGATAATACACCCTGTACGACCACAGAACATCATCAGTATCGATCTCTATGTTGTCAACTACTGCAACTTCTTCAGACCAGATGGGATCTCAGCGCAGCGACGACTCAGTTGCAGACGAAGCAGACGGCCCCGACGATCGGGGATTTCAAGCAGTTGAAGAGCGTGCTGGAGAAGGCAAAGAATAATCGAGATCGTGCAGGACTATACTATCGCAAGATGACCGGACCCTTCAGATTGGTTAGCATCAATGACGCAGCGCACGCAACCAAGACGACATCCTACGCCCACGAAGCTCGAGGATTGTTTCTCATGGAAGAGAGGAAGATCGATTATAGTCGTTATGGGATCATATCTAAGACATCATATGACAGCGTGTTCGGTGCAGCTCATCCATTGGTTGGTCAGAGCAGAAAGTCAAGGGGAGTATCATATTCGACGAGTCATGCAGAGACGGTCGCAGCAGTTGGAGGATCACAGACAGCACAGTTCACAGCATTACGGTTCACTGACATGAAAGCAAGGCCTATGTTGGAAAAAGCAACTGGCAATGTATTGCAAAACCTGATGTATATGCAGGATGAGGGCAGGTCACTCTTGCCAATTGATATCATTACGGATTGCTACGACTTATTCCAACTTGTGACAGGAACGAAAGGAATACCAGTGAACAAGACACAGAGACTCAGTATCTTGGGTTTACGAGAAGATAGACTATCAGGACGAATTCGCAGATTCTACCATTGGCCGACGGAAGTAATGGTGATGGACAGTTTGACAAAGCAAGGTATATTTCCTCAGATGCAGGACTATCTTATTTCTGGAGTGATACGATACGAGGGTTTGCTGAAGAAAAAGAACGACATCGAGAACGTGATAACCGTCAGGGAGATCAAGGCCAAGAGCAAGTTCACGGAGGACGACCTGGTGAACATCAACGCTTGACGAGCCTCCCTTCTTAGAAGCACAGAATCAGAGTGATAATATTAGTAGTGAGGGCCCTGATAAGAAGGGCGAGCTACGTATGCTTTAGAGGTGTTTCAGAGGCACCCTCCGTCGTCACCGCCGGATAGGGCAGAATGCCCTGGCTGCTGATTTAATAGCCACAGATCGTAATACTATTGTGGCTCATGGCGAGTAAAATGCCCGCTCCTCCTCCTCCCCCTCCTCCTACCTCCTCTCCTCCTCCTCCTCCTCCTCTCCTCCTCTCCTCTCCTCCTCCTCCTCCTCCTCCTCCTCCTCCTCCTCCTCCTCTCTCGCGCTCGAAGCACCGAGCTGGGCTCGGAGTAGGCGCGGCCGACCGACCTCGGGGGGCTCTGGGGCCGGTGTCCAGTGCGCGGTCGGCGGCGGCCCCCGCCCGCTCCGCGTGCCGCCCGGCTGCGAGCTTCGCCGGCCCGTGCGGGGTCGCCGCGGCGCTCGGCCCACTGACTTCGGGGGCGTCGGGGCCAGTGGCCTGCGCGGTCGGGCCCACCCCGCACTCTCTCAAGCAGTGGCGAAGCGTCCCGGCTTGCCGATAGGCCCACCAAGGAATGTTCCAAGAACTTTCTGTGGTTTCCACGAAATGTTATTATAACATTTCTGGCCGAGACGGTCGTGGTTTAACACATCGGGCTTATGTTCTAAGAAAATTGGTTTTGTTCATAAAACATGTTTTGGTTCTAAGGATATTTCGTGGTAGGCATATAGGAATGCCGGGACGGTCGGTCCCTGCTCAAGTCGGTGGTTCAAAGATGGGGTCTTGAGGGATGGGGTCCTAAGGATATCAAGGGGTCCAAGGGTGGTTTTGCGTTGTCTGAGGCACCTCGTCCTGAAGGCCCCATGCCTCAGGACCCCACCTTTGAGCCCCCGACGCTCGTACCCCTGCGAGTACCGCCTGCGACCCAATGCGATGCGATTCGATTTGCTGGCTGGGGCCGCGATTCCGACTCGGTTCGATTCGGCTCAGTTCATTGGCATCGGTCAGGGCCAACCAGAGACGGGCTCGGCGATTCGATTTCGATTCGATTCGGGACGATTCGCCGTCGATGCGATTCGTTTCCGATCCGATCTGGCTTGGCTCAGTCGAACCTGCTTCTAAGAATCGGGGAAACGTAAGACTCGAGTGCGCCGGAACTCGGGTTTGCCGATGTTTTTTGACGAGCGCGTCTTGGATTTTGACGGTCCAGTTTTCGTGGGATGTTTGGGAGGTGAATTCGCGTCACATTTCACATTGGGTCTCGTTATTTTCATGATGGCCCCGTCAGGCCAACCCGAGTCCCCCGAACCCGAGTCTCACGTCTCCTCGAGAGAAGCATCCCCCCGTCCCCTACCCCCCACCCCGCGCGCCGCCGAGGGAGGGGGGAAGGGGCAGCGGCCCTGCGCGTAGCGCGGCGAGGCCCCCATGCCGCCCCACCCCGCGGCGCCCACTCCGTGCTCGGCCCGGGCGTGCGCCTTCGCGTGCGCTTTCAGCAGGGCCGTCAGCGGAACAATGGAGGCCCATGTCGAGAAACACCCTGATCTCACGACGTTGTCGACGCTTTTCCCCAGCATCAAGGGGGCGAATGTACCCCCAGCCCACCAGGGAAGGAGCCGCCAGGAGACGACCTGGTGATCACCCCCCGAAACTTCCGTGCTGGCCGTCGCCTCGGGAAGCGGGAGCTGAGGCAGAAACGGCCGCGCACGGGCCGTATGTGAATCCCTCGCCGCATCTACGCGCGCGTCGCGGCGCGAAGCAGGGGGGGCGGGAGGGCGATTGCGCGTTCTGCGACGCGGCCTGCGCCCTGTGAGGCGTCCTGCCACGAGACGGCAGGAAAGTGCGAAGCAGGGCGCCTTGTGAGACGCCCTGCGACGCAATGCGCCCTGTGCGGCGCCCTGCCAACGGACGGCAGGCACTCGGCCCCGCGGGGACGTGACCCCCCGAGCCTTAGCCCAGCGGCACAGTAGGCGCCGACGAAGCCGGGTAAGGCCGCCTGCGGACCATTGCCAGCACAGTAGGCACTGGCAATGGTGATCGTGTCCCTGATGTCCGAAGCATCTGCGTCTCTAGATCGCCCATTATCCGAAAAGCTTCGCCTTCCTCCTAATAGGGTCAATCTCACGACGTTGTCGACGCTTTTCCCCAGCATCAAGGGGGCGAATGTACCCCCAGCCCACCAGGGAAGGAGCCGCCAGGAGACGACCTGGTGATCACCCCTCGAAGCAGGCCCCCTTGAGGCGGTGTTCCGCGAAGCGGTGTGTGTTGGGAGCCGGCGGTCTTTTTTCCTTGCGGGCCTCCGAGCGAGCGCACGGATGCCGTCTTCTCTCGCAAGCGTTCGGTCGGCCGGTCCGTCGTCTGCTCTGCAGAAGAGGCTGCTAGGCTATCGACGAAACGCTGCATTAGCGTATCTGGGGATGTGTCGGCGTGCGTATGACGCATGACGTCCTCCGAATTCCACCCACCTTGCCGTTGGACCACGTGCGGGGGGATCTTTGCTACGTGCGTGAACCATTCTGTTCCGCCTCTACGAAACGAGTGCGTGCTAGCGGCTGGGTCCTTAAAGTGTGACGAAACCGCCTTGCGCCACGAATCCGCGCTAACAGGCTGGAGTTGGGAACCTGTCGTGGTGCAGAATAGGGAAGGCACGTGAGCAGCCGTCGCGGCTTTCCAATCCATCCAATCTTGCAGGAATTTCGCCGGGGATAGCCCAGCAATAACCTTGAACGGAATGAAACACCATTGGCCTTTGCCACACGGGTCGCTCTTCTGTTTCCTGATGAAACAACACGCGCACGAGGCTTTAAAATGCACGTCCTGAACGCGGAGGTTGATCGCCTCCGAAACGCGGCGCAAGCCGAAAAAACAAATCGACGCCGCCTTGTCCGACATGAACGCACGAAAGCGGTCTGGACTGCCGCCGAACGACGACAGGCACAGCTCCCTCAAGGTGGTCTTGGGGGCGTTGCGCAGACCGATCGCGTCTTTGATCTTCTGCGCCTCCGGGTTGTTCGGGTTGGCCATGCACGCGGATACGGCGTTGACCATTGCTGGGTCTGCCATCTGCGCAGAGACGTTGGCCAGCCAGTCTTTGTCCACGAACAGACGGTTCCACCCGGCCAACCACTCCTGCGCGTCTGTGGACCGCTCGACCTCGCTCCGCGAGAAAGCCGCGTCCAGGTCAGCCTCTTGCTTGCTAGCCTTGGCTACGAACTCCTCGCAGGCTATGACGCGCTGCTCGAGGGAAACGATCACCGTGTCGGTGTGCCCGTTCTGCGTCTCGAACGTCTCCGCCGTTGCCTTGATCGCCGTGGGAATCTCCCCGACGTCCGAGGCCACGCCCGCTTGCAAGACAGATTTTACTGCCTCGGCGAACGCTGCTTCCAAGGCACCGCCCTGCCGAATGGCTGTTTTGAACCACTCCGTCGCCTCCGCCTCGCCGAAGGCGCTTGGCTCGACTGGCGCAGCCATGGCCGGGGCGCAGCCGGGCAGTTGCGGCAGAAGAGGGAGGATGACTCGACTCAGAAGTGCAGTGCGCTGACTGCGACCTCAGCTTGAGCCTGCGCGGCTGCGTCGAAGACGGGATCGACATGACCCGCGCAGTCGGACTGAGCGAGGAGACCGCGAGATGGACAGAGGACGAGAAGCAGCGGACAATGCAAACGGACGGACGAGTACACGTTGGAATGTTTTCCCGAACGGCCCAAGAGCAGGATGGGCAGATCCGTGGCTGGGGCTCTGACCCAACCGCCGTACGGACGCGGCATGCGGAACGGATCTGATCCGGATTGCCAGCGAGCAAGCCTACGCCACTTGTTAAGCTGCCAGGATCGGAACCAAGGTGCCCCGGTGTCCTCTGGCACAACTTAAAAAACAGCGCGGCACTTGCCTTCGGCAAGTGCCTTGGACAGGAACGAAATGGCATGCCCTGCCAAGGCGCGGGGCGGGTGTGCCCAGACCTTGTTTCCTAACACGTGCGCCTCAAACGCGGTGTTCTCGGGGTGAAACCAGAGCGGCGCTTTCGCGGTGACCCCCAGCCGGTCCGCGAAAAGATCGCAATCACATGGGCCGAATTCGGTGGTGATGCGGTCCATCACCGACGCTTTCAGCGCAGCCTCGCGGAAAGGGTCTGCATTCCATCGAGACGCAAATGCTGAGTCTCGGGAATCGGAATCCGAGATGACATTCGCTGCGCCCGCCAAGTGCACGGCCAAACGCCAGCACCCGGCCGAGCGTTCTGCATGCTCGAATTCCTCGGCCAACTGCACGAGGTGCGGTATGCGACCGGAGCGGAAGTTCACGTAATGGATGGCGGCCGTGTTATCAATTCGAAACACGACGCGCCATCCGCGCAACCATTCGGGCTCTGCCTGAACGGCCTGGACCGCGACCCACAACTCTTTAAAATTTATCGCGTCTGCGTTGTCTGCGAGATCTGCGAAACCTGCCGGCCAAACGCCGGACCTGACCACGCCAGCGCTGCACAAATTATATGACCATCCGTGCAGCTTGCTGGCGTCAGTTTCTATGACGCGCAGGCAGCCGGCAGCCGCCAAGCGACGCCAATCTTGGAACTCGGGGGATTTCTGCCCCCAAAGCGAAAGCTGCCCAGCTTCACCGTGCAGCGGTCGCTCCGGGGTGCGGTCCAGAGCGCGGTGCCACCACACAAAGCTTCGCGCGCGTCGGGGCTCAAGTGGACAACGGGGTTCGCCGCTGGGCGGCGAGCCCACAGCGCGTGCACGTTTGCTGCGTTCAGCGACGCCCAGACATGATACAGTCGCCGCCTGCCTTGCAGGAGCACCTCCGCAATATGGTTGGCCAGACCGGCGGTGGCTGCGGGGTCTCGCGCCAGCAAGGTTCCGTCTGAATCTGCCTGCAGGGCGGCGAGAATGAGGGCTTGGCACTTGTCGCACTTTTTACGCTCAACAGACAGCGTGTTGTTCAGAGTGTCGAACACCCATCCTACCCACGTCTGGACTTGAGAGGGCGGCCGGACGCCGCCTTCTTTTGCAGAGATCGGGACGCCAATCTTCAGGAAGAACCGGACGACGCGCTCCAGCTCCAGCCACGCGTCCTCCTCGGAAGATTGTGCGCCCAGATCGTCGTCTACGAAACGGCGTTCTCGTGC